GGGTGGGAAAGCAAAAACGAGTGGAGAAATAATAATAATAATGATTAATTAGTTGTGAGTTTTGTGTCGGTTTGAAATGAAACGATTTGGACAAATATTTCTCATCTGTCATTTTGCTGTAATCTGATCTTTAATTTTTCAATTACAGCTGTTTAATCTGAAGAAAAATAAGAAAGTAGTTTGTTGTAGATAAAAATATCTTTATGTCAAATTAATTTGCTTTTGTTGGTGAGTTAGGCAAAAAGTTACAAGTTGTATATCTCTCTCTCAAGCTAGTTGGAAACTTACATTGGTCAAAAAAATGAAGAAGTCATAACCCATAAAAGGTGGTGAATCTATTTTCTCTCTCCATAGACAAATACTAGCCTTTATAGGACGGTTCAACTACAATGCTCCAAATCTATGGGAGATTACAGATAACATAGAAAATAGAGTCAGCAATAACTCCTCTCGAGTCTTGTCAAATAGCAACAATTTAGGTATGTGCCTTTCATCTCAAACTCTGGTCAAGCTCCTCTCTTATTTGGATACAACTATTGGGAAAGAACAACAACCTCCTTACAAAAGCTTACCATAACATTTCACTTGATGAGGCTGTTTCAGAAGCACTCTAAACATAACAAGACTACAGAATATACAAAAGATGAAACTAGTGATCAAAGGAGTCTAATTGATCATAATCTCTCTCTACAAACAGCCATCAATTCTAACATGACGACAACCGATATTTGTTAATGCTACACCTGAAATCAGACAGATCACCTCACTGTCCTCTGCTGTATATAGATTGCCTTGTTTTTTTTTTAACAGTTTACTGAAGCTGCTGCAGCACCTTGCGGCTGATGCATACCTTCATTCTCCTTTCGGTTCCTGTCTGTGTCTTCTTCTGCCTTCTCATTCCTTTCTTGGGTCTCATTCTTTCCTTTTGTCTTTGCTTCATCCAAAGTCACTTTCTGCTCTTGATTACCTTCTTCTGTATTATCACCTGTGTTGTTACTCTCATTCTTTTCCTCTCCAGGCTTCTCTCTCCCAACCTCAGCAGCATCTTCCGGCTTCTCTTTCTCTGTGTCCATGAGGCTATCTTTCAGAGGACCTTCACTTCTTCCTCCATTCTCAGTCTTGTTCTCCTCAAGTCCACCCTTTTCTTTCTCGGTATCAACTCTTTCTATGGTGTCCTTTTCACTCTCTCTTACATCTGTTGCTGGTTCTCCTTCTTTGGTCCCTTTCTCAGCGTCAGACTCTTGTGTTTGTGGGACATTTTCACCATCTCCCTCCTTAATCTCTTTCTCAGCTTCTTGCATTTGAATATCTGCATCCTTCACAGAATCATTGTTTTCTGTTTGTGTGACCTTTTCACCATCTCCCTCCTTAATCTCTTTATCAGCTTCATGCATTTCAGTTTCTGCATCCTTCACACAATCAATGTTTTCTGTTTGTGCGACCTTTTCACCATGTCCCTCATTAATCTCTTTCTCAGCCTCATCAATTTCAGTTTCTGTGTCCTTCACAACATCCTTGTTTTCTGCTTGAGCTTCCTTTTCACCATCTCCCTCTTTAGTCCCTTTCTCGGCCTCATCCGTTTCAGTTTCTGCAACTTTAGCAGCATCTTTACCTTCTGCTTGTGAAACCTTTTCACCATCTCCCACCTGGTTCTCTTTCTCAGCCTCGTTCATTTCGGTTTCTCCATCCTTGACAACATCCTTGTTCTCTGTTTGAGCTTCCTTTTCGCTCTCTTTGTTATCCTTCTTTGTCAGAGAAGATCTTCTCTTCTTCTTCATTGGTTCCTTCTCCGGTGTCGGAGTAGTTGCCTTTGCTTTCCCGCTGATCCTTGCCGACCTCCTCGGTGTTTCCCCTGTTGTCCAATCAAACTCAGAGATGGCGGGATTACCGGGATGGGCCTTGAGATACTGCTCCAACTGTTTGCGCGAACTGATCTCTTCACCAGTAGGTGCAATGTAGACAATCTCAGTCTTTCTTGGTGTACCTGCCCGTCTCGGATTGAACTGCACAAAGAAAGGGGAGAAACATCACATACCAAGATCCCTTTTTCACATAACTATTCACCCAATTCAACATGTAAAGAGAGTAGAGTAAACGGTGGACAGTTACCCGAAAGAGACCCAATTTCATTCAATACAACAATCAAATCATATCAGACTGAAAATCTCTTTGCATATATAAACCAAATAGCACACAAACACAATCATTTCCACACAGAGAAAGAACCAATAAGCAAGATCAGATTCAGTTTGTGAAAGACAAAAAAAAAACCCTAAATTCCAACAAATTCCGGACAGAGATATAGTAAAAATTTGACGCATTTAACCAAAGCCCTAACTTTTTATACTCAAGAACACCTCATTTGTATCTCAAGAAATACCTAATTTCTTCCTAAAAGATTTCAAATTGAAGATGATTCTTATATTAAGAATCGGACTTCAAAAACGTTCTGCTATAGAAATGAGAGGACAGACCGCACAGAAACCAAATCAATTTCAAAAATTTCCCAGAACAGAAAAGAAATCGCAGTCAAAAGAAGTAGAAGAAAGAAGAGGGTGAAGGAGATATCATAATACCAGTTTCTTCCAAGAAGCAGGAGCTGGAAGCTCAATAGAAACAAGTTCCTCACTCTTCTCCATCTTCCTCTCTATATGAACCCTAGAAAAGAAAAAGAAAAAGAAACTAAACCAAACTTCCTCCAAAGCTCTTTCTTTTATTTTCCCTTTCTCTGGGTTTTAAAGACTTGCACAACCGTTTCCTAGTGC